GAATTGCAGGTCAACGGGATTTTTTCTGGAAGGGGTATTTAAGGTAGCTGAGGGGATGTCGTGGACGTGACTTTTTGATCAGCGCTCAAGACGGTTTTTTCGATAAAGTCTGCAAGTATGAGGTTTGTTGACGCTTTGGCTTTGGCCATTGCTTTATTTCCAGGTCTCTCGGTCACACAAGGGTATACCAATGAATCTGAAGTCCCATTATATGGGCTGTCGCCACCTGTATATCCTAGTCGTGAGTATATTTGTATTTTTCTGCGTCGAAAGAAATACTGAAACGGTGCAGCCCAGGGTAATGGTTCGACATCCGAAGCTTGGACCGCAGCATACGCTCGTGCAAGGGCCGTTGTAGCACAATTAACGCAGGAAGAACAATCAAACTTGACTCACGGCGTCACGGGACGATGTGTAGGACAGACGGGCGCAGTACCTCGTCTTGAAATTCCTGAACTCTGCTTTGCTGATGCTCCGGCTGGTATTCGTGGTCAAGAGTTTGTATCGGCGTTCCCTGCCGGCATTCACCTTGGAGCGACGTTCGATAAAAGACTTATGCTGCAATATGGCCAAGCTTTAGGTCGGGAATTCAAAGGAAAGGGTATTCACATTGCGCTGGGCCCTTTTATCGGACCTATTGGGCGTGTTGTAAGAGGTGGAAGGAACTGGGAGGGTCTGGGTGCTGATCCGTATCTTAATGGTGTTGGGGGCGGTCTGCTCACCAGAGGCACCCAGGAATCAGGTGTCATGGCGACTCCAAAGGTGAGAAGATTTCCAGGAATGGTTTGGAAATATCGAAAATGCAGGACTGATTTTCTTGGTTAGCATTGGATTGCTCAAGAACAGGAGTATAGGCGTAGACCTGGAAGCGAAGGCGAGGCTGTTTCGTCAAACGTTGACGACCGTACGCTACACGAGTTGTATGCCTGGCCCTTCATGGACGCTCTCCGCGAAGGTGCTGTTTCCGTAATGTGCTCTTACCAGAGGATCAACAACTCGTGAGTGGATTTCATCTTGTATGCTGTAGGGGAAAGCAACTGACATTATACGCCCGCATCCAGATATGGCTGCCAAAACTCAGCCCTCCTGAATGGAGTATTGAAAACTCAATTGGGATTTGAGGGTTTCGTGGTGTGTTCGATCCAGGCAAAAATTTGAAGAAGAGCATGCTCATATGTATTTAGGTCTCCGATTGGGATGCACAACATGCGGGTGTTGCATCAGCAAATGCTGGACTTGACGTAGTCATGCCCGTAGCCAAGTTCTGGGGCAACAATCTCACCGACGCCGTGAACAACGGATCGGTTACTGCTGAAAGGTTCAATGATATGAACACCCGACTACTAGCAGCCTACTACTATCTTAAACAGGACGAGACCAATTTCGACACCCAAGTATACCCGTACAATGTGAAACACGAGATTATAGACGTAACGGAGGACCATGGCTCATTGATCAGGGAAATTGGAGCCGCAGGTACCGTTCTTGTGAAGAACGTAAACAACACCCTTCCCCTGATCAATCCCCGCTTCTTGAACATCTACGGCTACGACGCAGAGGTAAAGGCCTCGCCCTGGAACAATCCCTCGCGTTTCGGCGGCGGCTACGAAGAAAACTTTGGCTGGAACACGTTGAACGGCACGTTGATAACAGCAGGCGGGTCGGGTTCCAGCACACCTCGATACGTGATCAGCCCATTCAAAGCGCTACAAGACCGGTTGATTAAGAACCGCGGAACACTTCGATGGGATTTATGGGGCGTGAATCCTACTGTTTACGCAAACGCCGAAGCATGCCTTGTGTTCATCAACGCATACGCATCTGAGAGCTTTGACCGGACATCTCTCACCGACGATTTCAGCGACCAGCTTGTTAACAACGTGGCCACGAACTGCTCCAATACCATTGTCGTTATCCACTCAGCCGGCGTCCGCACTGTTGACGCATGGTACGACCATCCCAACGTCACTGCCATCCTATATGCTGGTGTCCCGGGTCAAGAAAGCGGAAACGCAATCGCCGATGTGCTCCTCGGTGATGTAAACCCTAGTGGTCGGCTGCCATACACTGTAGCTCGCTCCGAATCTGACTACGGCGCCTTGCTCAACTCGACTTTCGATCCTTCCATTCCCGCCTTTTTGCAGTCAAACTTTACAGAAGGTTTGTATATCGACTACCGCGACTTCAACAAGCGCAACGTCACACCGCTGTACGAATTCGGCTTTGGGCTATCTTACACTACCTTTTCTTACGACGATTTGTCGATTGAGTCGGTAGTACCAAACACTTCGCTCTCGCGCTTCCCATCTCCCTCGGTGCCGATTGTGCAGGGCGGCCACCCAGAGCTATGGGATGTGCTGTACCGAGTCAGCGTCAATGTCACCAACACGGGTAAGGTAGCTGGTCACGAGGTGCCGCAATTGTATCTTGGTGTTCCGAATGCGCCGCAGAAGCAACTGAGGGGTTTCGAGCGTGTGGGCTTGTTGAAGCCAGGCGAGAGCGCTGTCGTAAATTTTGAGCTTCAGAGACGTGATTTGAGTATTTGGAATGTAGAGGCTCAGGCGTGGGAGCTGCAGAGGGGACGATATGGAGTGTGGGTTGGCGCGAGTAGCCGTGACGTAAGACAGGAGGGCGAGATTGTTGTATCGTGAGCATGACCTCCAATGGAAGGAGGCAGGTACGATCAGAGTAATTGTAAAGTCACTCTACGATGCTAAAACTTTTTTACAATGTGACTCCATGTGCTTCAAGTGGTGATATTGCACTACCTATATTGTACAGTCGGTACTAGAGAGCACTTGCATAGCTTTCTACATATCACAACGGTCTTGTCGGAATTAATACACATTTTGAACAGCCTAGGCGACCATTACATGTTACCCAACCAAGCTGATATCAATCACTACGCTATGTTTCACTGCCAAGGATGTCGAATTGAGATCTTCAAGACCCAAGATCATAACGAAGGCACTAAACTATTTCCAAGCACATTAGCACCACGCGTACAGTATGACAAGTATCCGCTACGCTTCACTCGCGAATACGAATAATCATACAATTGCTCCTCGTATTCTAAAGGTGCAAGAGCAACCATTCGTTACATTGACTACACATTCATCGTAGTGAGCATCGCAAGAGAAAGCACTATAAGTGGCGCTATTATGTCTTGCAACTTCTTAGCCATTTATGTTTAAGGAAAAGGAGAAATAACCCTTCCAGTTGGCCTCGTAAGCCTTTGTTGCTGCGACAAGGCAAGAAGGTCTCAGCAATCTTAGCCAAAAGATACCAGAGCCACTAAGCCCCCGGGCTTGCGTGTACGCACTTTGTCTTGAGATGAGACCGACGTTAGTCACCGCTATAGGTCCTATTCATTTCTCCGTTTTCCGCCTCGATTTTGTTGCCCTTTTGGTTTTAGACCCTTGACAAGGAGCCTTAGTTAGTTTCGTAGCTAGGCATATCAAGATCGGGATGGAAAACAGACAAGACTGTTTAGTCAGAGTTCGTTTCATTACCATATTCAGGTATGTGATAGCTGTGCAGCAGACTCTTTTTTGCTTGAAAAGGGTAATTACTGTCCTGAAATTACGCTAGATGAGACGTTTTTCTATTAGCGTTTTACTCAGGAACTGGAGCGCAGTCTAGTAGCGATTATAAGCAGTAGTACATTTAGTTGAAAATGGAGCTGTTTGCAGCTCTGTTTTAAAGAAGGAGCCGGGATTGGGTTTAGCAGACGAGACACGCAGCTGAACCGAATACGCCCAGGGTTGCGTAACTTATATACTGTTCTAGGCGCCGATGTGGGCGGCCCGAAGAGGCATCACACCGGGCCGAACAAAGCTAATAGGGGTCTATTCAGACACCGAGACTAGTATAGCAAATTTGTATGTACTCCGTACAGAGAATTCTTTCAGAAAAAACGACTAACAGGGTGTCTACTTATAGTTCAACCGTAGTACTGCCGTAATAGGACCTTTGTATTGCTACAGCTCTCTCTCTCCTGTTGCTCATTATTCTTTCTCAATGCTTGTTTATGTCTACGAAAGGTGAAATCTATCGCTATAGCAATCCATGTGTTCTATTTCAGATGTGGCTAATTTGGATATTAATTTAAGTAATTTATTATTCCAAAGAGAGAGAGAAAGGCATTTAGGGTTAGAATATCTCTATTTAGCTAAGAAGATATCGGTCCGATAGAGATAGCACTCATGAATGGTTTTGAGGGAGCCCTCTATATTCGTATATGCATCCTTACAGTCATCTTGGTTTTATACTAGAGTAGCTACTTGGTGTTCATGCTGCCGATCCGAAGGAAAGTTGACGTGCTAACTCGTGGTAGGATTGCTTATAGGGGCGGAGGAATGTCAAGACTTGTGTAATTTTGATACGTTCTTGAGATTGGCGAACAAATCTAAGAGTCGCTATAGTTGCATATTACCGCAACCCCTAATGGCTGACGCTGCTGGGCCAGTCAAGAAGTGGTGCGGATCAGAAAAGGCGGACAGGTGACCCCGCGTTATTTGATAGCAATGATTGTATGACATCAGTATGTTTGCGAGATACAACAAACTGCCGCACCACTGCTTTGGCTGATTACTAAAGTAGCTCTTTGAGAACCGCTTCTAGAAAACGGGTGGGTACGGTTAGCCTAAAGAAGAATGCAAACCAGAAGTGACCGAGCACTAAGACTTTTGTATCTAATGTAAATTTGACAATCGGGGACATTTCGTATTGCTCACTTGACTAAATAAGTACCAAGACCACTCAAGGGATATCCTGGAAGACCGAAGAACAACCACACTGGACGGAAAGACCACATCGATCTACAATGAGAGAGCAGCAGCTGGTACTATATTACGAACTCCAAGCTCAAAGACATATAAACAGTCACTCTCCCGCTGTACTATCATCATCACAAACAACTACAATAGCACTCTCTTACAATCTTTCTACGTCTTTCATTAATCGTCCTTACTACACACTCTGACAACCCAAACGCAACCATGCAATTCCGCTCTATCATCCTCGCCGCCACCGGCCTGCTCTCTGTTGCCTACGCTGCCCCAGCTTCCGGCAGCCCTGTCCCTGAGAACCCGCTGTTGACTCGCCAGTGCGCCGCAAATGGCGTCTGCGCACCCAACCCCACTGCTTGCTCCAACCTTCGATGCTGCTCAGGCGCAAAGCAGGTAAGAAACAATATCAGAAAACGAATATTCTGGGAGAAACAAACTAACGACTGGATTAATAGGGTCGAGGAGGTGGTGTCTGCTGCTGTGTTTCTTTCCCTTAAAGGGAGTGCCGGGTACTTGCATGAAACTGCAATAGGAAAGGTTATCAGAGGTCTTTTGGAGGTTTGGTGCCGAAGAAGCTTCCTCCGTCTTTTTTTCTTTGTTTTCTGAGAACACTGTGCGTGATATGTTCGAGATTGGGGAAAGGAAATGAGACGATGTTTAGTATTCTAGTATATATTAACATGTAAAGTTTTTAATTATATTCTGATTGGAAGTGCTGTGGATCTTATTTAATGCTTCTAACTGTGAACAACGCCGAGGAGGTATGCAGTTTTGTCTATCTATCATTCAATCTACTCACTAACACGACTATTAGTTCCTCTAGTCAGCCCAACTAGGTTATCTAATCTATCTAATTACCACCACAACCAACAGCCGTCAGCTCTCTTAACACGAATAGAAAGATCTCGTCTCCATCACCCAACTAACTCGAACTAAGAGAGGGTATCTTAAGATTATAATATAGTTTTGATAATGACACAACACTTGAGAAGGGCTGGGGATTTGGTCGCATATCACGCTGGCTACCCACTTAACTAGCTGTCTAAGTTGCCCCTCTACTACAATCACCACTCTTCTGTTTAACCCCACTGATCCAGTTGCCCTATGGCCCACGGCGAGGGGGAAAACATCAATATCAATCACCTAACCTCGCCCTATTACTACTACCACCCAGAGATCGAAATTTCCCACCATCTTAGTCCATCTCCAAGGCTAAAGCAAATGATTTTTTTTTGAAATCAGACATCTCGAGAATGTCTCAACCAAACACTACCTAAACTTATGAAACTATGCAAATAAACCTTGCCGTATCATCTTACAAGAAAAAACAAAAGTAAATGTATTGGTGTGTAACATATCCATACAGCCCACATACGCCAACACAACACATCAACCGAATCCCTATACTCATCCACCCCACCCATCTCGATCTTGCGCCATCTCTCCAACATCATCAATACCCCCTTGTTACATCTGTACCATGCAATGCAGCCGGCACTCGCAATCGAGAGAAAAAGCAATTCACACACACACACACACATCCACTATCAGTCCCCACCTGCCTACCTCCTTTCTTTTCCATTCAACAGTAGAAGATCATTTCATCACGACACACACCGACTCCACAACAGCCCGTCAACAATACAACCCACATCTACACCGTCACTTCAACATCTACAACCCCCTTTCTTCTCGCTTACAGCCCCCAGAAAAAAAGCCAGCACTGGACTCACCGGAACACTACAAGCGGTGTGTGTCGCCCCAACCCAACATAATTTTTCCTCAGCTCGATCCAGCAGTGTGGCACCGCGAGATGTCATGCACCCATCCCACCAGCTCCCTCCCTCCCTTTTTCCATTTTCCTTTTCCGCTTTGCAGCCGAAAAACTAAATCAGCCGGGAGGGGCACATCATGTAGCCGTGACCATTTTTTCGGGTAAAGAAAACATGGGCCCCACTGGGTTGCCAGCACACATGTTGATGGGCTGCAATATACATGTGCGTTTAGCCACGGCACAAAAAAAGCTCGTTTCATGTGTGAGTATGCTAGGGTGTAGAAAGGGGGAGGGGGAGATGTAAAGACCGAGGTTCAATCTTTCGCATATCCCGAGTCTCATGCGAGAACGATAATTGTTACGCCCGAGGTTCAATACTTCGTACTACCGAATGTTAAGCGAGCACGGGCTTTTCAGCCTCAACCTCCGCCCTTAGTACTCTAGTCCAAAATCAAAATCAAAACACAGTAAAAGTGGTGTGACATCCACCTCTCAACGGCTTCTAGTCGTACATAGTCCGGGCCCTGGAAAACTTTTCCACCCTTTGAAAAAAAATACCAAAAAAAATCCGGGCACACTAGGCAAAATGATTCGCATCTAGCATTACTCATGCCCACCTGAACTTTTCCGATGTCAACCCGGGATCACAGGGCACATGCACACAAGTGAGCGGGAATGCTTTGCATTAGCGCCCACATCAAGAAAAAAAGCTCGATTTTTTCTTCAACTTGGGTATGGCGGGCTACTACCTACCCGCAGCTAGTTCGGAACGGCTTCAGGGCGAATACGCTTTGTACGAACGGGAAGCCAGGGTATAGCGCTAGACAGCAAGCAAGCAAAAAAAAAAAATTCATCTGGAAAAGGGAAGCACACGTGAACAACAAGAGTACACCTCGGTTGGGCATGCATGTGCGAGCGCGGGTCGGGCCAGCAAAGTGTGCTGTGAACCCAATGTTGAACGTGGCATACAAAAAAAACCCCCACTATCAGAATCACAATCATAAGACAGAAAGAGCGGGTATAGGTGAGGTTATTCAGCAGAAAACCAGCGTCAAGCCTCGAACCACGGAAAAGCGTGCACACTACATGTAGGCATATGCTCGGATAAAAACCCACCCCACAACACGTGACAAGATCAAAGACATGCTGCCTTCCAGCCTTACCCGCAAAAGCCGTTGAGGGGGGGGGGGTCGGGCTCTCGGGGGTGTTCGTCCGAAGGGACCCCCCCCTCTCTCCCTCCCTCCCACTCTGGACATAACAACTCGCAAAGAGATCGACCGCATGACGTATTACCAAAGCGGAATGGTTGTCGATCCCCTAGATAGGGAAAGTCACTGTTCTCTTTCCCGCCCCCCTTCTCTCGTGGCGATAAAAGTATCACAAGCCAAACCAAACCAAAAAAAATGTCCGAGGGAACCGAGGCGAGAGAAAAGGTGAACGAGTGGTGGTGTCATCGACCCTGCATTATCATCTTTTTTCTTTTGCATATGACATGTGTACACAATACGTGAGAGAGAGAGAAAAGCGTGATGGTCGCGTCATAAGTCAACCCGGATCGTTGCTTATCGAGACAATGTGCGTGTAGGGGCGGGACCCCTTCCCCCGTGATGACAGTGCGATACGGTGATACGGTGATATTTGGATGGGGAAGGGGGAAGGGGGGGGATGACGGACGAAAAGGGCGGAGTTAGAAAGACACGCGGATAGGAAGGTGAGGAGTGTAAGGTGTCAAAGAGGCTTGTGAGACATGCAATCTCATGTGCGTGAGAGAGAAATGCGTATGGTAAGATTGTAAGTAGATACGGATATACGGGATATACGCGGAGTCTGCTGATATGCGAGAACAATCTCGCATATTGTGTTTTGTTATCGCCGGTGACTTTTTTGGTTGTCTCTCTCTCTCCCTCCCTTTACGCCGGGCTAAATCCGGGCACAAGCGAGAGCATGCGGGCCTAGACAAAACCCCACCCTGGAGAGGGGGACAGATGATCTACATAGCTTACATACAGGCGACATATCTGGCAACCCATGCGCTACGGTGATTGTTAAAAGAGTGTTTGACAAGGCCCGTCAAGCCACACCTTAGTCACCCTGGTTTCCAAGTAGGCGTGGGCAGTTGTGCCGAGCGTAGCAAGGCTGTCCTCACTGGTCCTACTATCATCGCTAGTCAAGTCAGCACGAGTACACTTAGTAAGGTTGACGCGTATAAGATGAGTAGCGGCGTTTGGGGAAGCCATGGCAATGGAGAAGGCGGGCAGGCGTGTCTTGGTGTTGATATTGAATCGCTTGGTTGAGCACTGCCCACGAGGGATGGGGCAAAGGCGATGGCTGAGGTAAGGTGTCAGATTGAGGCTGCCTGAGGTGCAGAGCATTTGCCTTGTTTGGTACGCCAGGGCTCCCTAATTGGTAGTGCATCTTTCTCCGCGTGGAGAAAGAAAGGGGCTCTTTTCTTTGCTGATGAGGAGTAAAGAGTCGAGACCGCCGGACGCGAGACACAATGCCAACTCACACACCGAGTATTGAATAGGGGTGGGCAAATGAGAAGGAGAGCGACAAAAGGCTGTTGTGGATATGGAGTCAAGGGGGGCCTTTCGCTTCACTTGAGCCCTGCATTATGCTGCTGGGCATAGCGAGATTGGCGCGCATTTGGCCAGGTGTTCATTCTACTCTACTTGAGCCGTGGGTGAGGCAGTAGTAAGTATGTGTGTAGGGGGGGGGGGATGGGATGTAGGTACGTAGCATCGCATGCATAGCTTGACTGCGCTGGCTCATAGGCTACACCGCTGCACATAGACACACGCACACAGCGCTACAGGCGCCGAAACGCCATGTTGAAACTTGCTTTGACCGCGCAACGCGCAACGCCCTGTTTTGGTCTCATTGCTCTCTGCCTCGCGTTTGACGCCCATGCCACGTTGTTGTTTCGCGACATGTGTCGCATAGAAGAACGGAGCGGGTACCGCTGTGGAGAGCGCGGGGAAGAGCAAAAAAAAAAAACAGGGTGGCCAGATCAGCATTGAAACTTGAGCGGCATTGACCTTGAATTTTTTTTGTCGTGTTTCCCTTTGTAGTAATTGCCGGAGATGGAAAGCAGCGAAATCGCAGGCAACATAGGGCCGGGCAGAGATGAAGGTGCAAATGAATGATGGCATATGTTTGCGATACGGATCATCGCACCCCAGGAGTTCCGCTCCGCCTCTTCCCACCGCCACTGGCCCGTGTTTCGCCCGATCGGATCATCCAGACTGCCGACCCTCCTCCATCGAGACAAGCGATCGAGGTCCGACCGGAATACTCAAGAGTCCGAACTCCCTAGTACCATCTCATCCCACGCCCTACCACTACTGTGTACGGTTACGCCCGTATGCCTCGCGAAAGAACCATGCCTAGGGACCTGGCCCACACTAATCTGACGAACGGCGGCGTGCGCTATTGCACATGCTAGTATATTCGCTCGAGGCAGATGTTCCGCGTCACCTGGCCACGAACTGCAGACACGCGGGTCCGCCTGCAGTGAGTCAATGTATTGTAAAGTATGCAAGGACACGATTGTGTGTGCGTGTGTGTGGGTAAATTTTTTTATTCTGCCTACATACATTTTATTGTTGCCTGGGGTTGCACGCGCTCACCGGAAAAGGCACTTTTTGATTAGGCAGACGTTACGAGGCAGCAGTGGCATTTTGAGCCATGTGTACGAGGCAGAGGCGTGTAGTGTATCCATATCCACAAGTGCCACCGCCTACGCGACTATGCGCGGACACAAGGGGCCAGGGTCTGCCGCACTGTCCAAAAGTCGGTCAACTCAAACTTTTGCAACGCTGGCCCCAGTGCGACAGTTTTTTTCTAGCCTCGCATGTCAAACAAAGCGTGTGAGCAGCGAGTGAGGTGGTGTGATTAGCGTGCATGGTGCAGAGATAGCAGACCCGTCACCTGATGCATGTGTGTAGATCATTTTGTAGAGTAGTACGACGACTGATCTTTGATTCATGTTCTAGCTAAGGGCGGGAGTCTCGACCAATCTGCTTGGGAGATGTCAAACCGCCTGTACCAAAATGTCCCAAAATGTCTCTCCTTCCATTGTACCAAAATGCTCCAAGAGTAGAGTAGAGTAGAGTAGTAGCCTTCCTCATGTCCTAGCTTGACACTTCTCACCGCCCTGCGGTGCATGCCAATATACCCCACAAACAAACAAAGACATGTCAATAATAAAGAGAAAATAACAAAGGATATCATGCCCAAGACAATGCCACGCTATGCTGTAAAAATGATTCGCTCGCTTCAAGGAAAAAAAAATGCTGGATCGGAAATCATGAGGTCGGAACATGTCCATGTGCTGGCCTAATAACTTGAGATGAGCGGAGAGCTGGTGTCCATGAACAGTGGCTGGTCGTGTTCCAGGTATTGTGGCTTTGGCTTGGTGTTGTAGAATGTCGTCGTGAGCATACCCTCCTTGTCTGAGAAGTTGAGCGTTGATTGTGGTGGCGATGTTGGTGGTGACTCGTCGTCCGACTCCTCTTCGAAGGTAAGCTCGGGTGGTGATTGCAATTGCGAGGGTACACGAGTGAGGGCGAGTTCAGAGTGGTCCTCCATGTCGTCGTAGAAGTCATCCTCGTCCTCTGAGTCGTCTTCGTCAACCTCCATTGTGCTGATTTGTACGGGAGCTGCTGCGATGCGACGGGGCATGGGGATCATGTCAAAGTCGTCGTCGTTGTCCGAGTCGGAGTCGGAAACGGACGAGTCGTCTTCGTCGTCGTCGAGCTCCTCAGCAATGCTGTCGGCCCACTGGATGTGTCGGGGCTCCTCAGCCTTGGAGGCCTTGGCCATGGTCTGGTTGAACCACTGCTCTTGCTGGCGCTCGGCGTCTTGGAGTTCGATCATGAGGCTGTCGAGGAGGTTTGCGTGTCCGACGAGCAGGCGGAGGTTGTGGTCGGCCCTGCATGCCTCCTTGCCGAGCTTGGAGCGGGCAGAGGCAGCGATGTAGTAGGTCTGGGTGAGAGACATTTTTTGCTTCTTGGCTGGTGGTGAGGCGACGAAGTGGGAGCGAGTGGTCTCGGCCGTGAAAGGCTCAAACGAGGTTTGGATGCGGAGGTGTGATGAGGAAGGCATGGCTTCTATGTTGTAGGCACAAAGTATAAGAAGGGCTAAAAAAATGTGAGTCAGTTTGGTTGTGACTGGATAGTGGCCGGGGTATGACGAACCCGTTGCGCAGTAGCCGTATTGGGGGAAGGTGATGCGAGGCTGGGATATGGATGCAGAGTGTCGATGTCGATGTCGATGTCCAAGGGTAGTCGAGGTGATGTCAAGACTATTGTATTGTTGCTGTTGCTGTGGTTTGGTGGAGCTGGTAGTGGAGGGCCAAAAGCAGCAGAGGGCGGGCGGGCGTGTTTCTTATGTTTCCCTGACGCATGGAGGATGAGCATGATGGATAACGGGCGGGCGGGACTATTGGCGTGTTTCCACCGCTCTTGGCCGAGCAGTGCTCAGCGCAAGGACGGATGCGGTGAGCTAGCAGAGGATGATTCACACTGCGCGACAGGGGTCCTAGCGTGGCTTACGATACCCTGCCTGTCTCCGTCGGACGTAAAGACTTTCGCCCGTCCACCACGCGGAGCCCGAGCAGTGCGTCGTCGTAGTGCATGCACGTCGACACGACATGGACATGGCATGGACATGGCATGGACCTGGCTAAACGCCGTCGTCCAAGGTTTTTTTTACTCCGTCGGCGTTTACTTACCACCACTCGAGGCGTACATTGCATCATCTATTCGTCCGCCCTGTTTACGGCCTGTCATCTGTCTGCCTGCCTGCCTGCCTGCCTGCTTTTTTTGCTTTTGGCGTTTTCGCTTTCGCCTCGGATTGCGCACCTTGGGCAGACCCTGCTGCCAGTATCTTGGGGGGTCTCATTGTGCGCTGTCCGGCTAGAGGATGCCTTGGGCGAGATGGAGCCCTGCCAGGCTGCCTGTTGGCTGTGGTTCCAGGATGCGCTGTCGTAAGGCTAAGCCACGGGCCTCCCCACAGGCTGAGCGGTCAGCCCTTCACCTGTGGCTGTCGCGACGCGGCAGGCGGCCCCCATCAGTGTCTTGCTTGCGGGGCCTCTTACACCCTTCATTCGATTGCTAGTCGGCGGTTGGGCGTTGCAGTCGCAAGGCTGTTCGGACCCGAGTCTACTGCCGGCGCCGGTCCTGGTATTACTCTCCCGACTGTTGTCCTAAAACCTCTCGTACTACCATGTACACGTTGTCTTCAGATCAGCCAATCTCGGCAGGCCAGCCACACCGGCGACTGACTGCCCTTGGCTCGCCTATCCGGCACGGTTGGTGCGGAAAAGCACTGTTCGGCCGACGAGTACGAGAGAGGCAGAGAGAAGCTTGGTTACCTAAGTGGCTAGCTGCCTAGGTCACTAAGTACTCGGGGTTCCGGTTATCCATTCAACTTTCGTCCGTACTGTATGCGTCTGCGTCTCCCCCTACTCCTACGCAGTACAGTACAGTGCTCACGCTCAGTAGCTGGCAGAAGCCACGATGCACGTCACATGCACTCATCTGCCACCCGCCTCCACTCTTCACACGCCCATTCCCCGCCTCTGACCGTCTCATTACGACACGGTCCAGGCGCATCGCACAATCGTCCTCAATGGCACATCTAAAACCCCGATTACAAACACTGCTGCCCGCGTCTTGCGGTAGGGCACGCGGGATTGGTGGACACGTCGGCTTTGTCATGTGTGCTGAAAAATGCCATCTGACAAAGCCGCTAATTAGCAAGCCTTGCATGAACCACTAGACTCCCAGACACATTACTGTTCTTTATACTGGATTGCAAATCTTGAAATTGCGTGCTTCCACCCGACGTCACTCGCCCTCTCTACACGTTGGGCACACTGCGACAGCGGACAGCGACTCCGTCCCCGTCGCCGGCTGGGCATCGATCCGCAACAAAAGGCTGCTACACTACTTCCTACACCGTGTCGTGCCAGAGCCAGAGTCAGATCCAGGGACCGACCAGGGACGTCGTGGCCGTGCGCTTCCAACACCTTGTCCCCGCTCCGCCCTTTCCACTGCACTGGCGCACCAGTTCAAGGACGAACGATCCTAAACGAGCCAAGCCCAACCCATGGGCCCCTCCGCATGTCGCTACTTACTGCTACCCATACCTTTTTCCGACGCTGCGCATGAGTGCTGCCTACGCCCACGACACGTATCCGCTATCCACTTCACCGCTGTCTTTGTCCTACCCTAGACAAAAACTACGCGATTGCCGAGTCCATGGCTGTCCGCGCTAGGCACACTGCGGCACCGTAGCAACGCAATGCTGCCATACCACGGGGCTGTCATGTTGATACAATATGAGTCGACCAATTGCCAGATGCGGACAGGGAGCCCAGCCCCGCGCAACTAAGCCACCACAGCTCGACGACGACTCCAATACCGCGTCAATATATTACTTTAAAGTGTCTATTTTCGCGACTGCGTACATACTTACTTACACGGCACGCCTACTCATCCTTCAGTGGAAGCGAGCGCATTCGCGTATACGTATTGCTCAGCCCCCCTCGTCCACATGCGACGTATTGACATACGCCTTTTCCGCGTCAATATTCCCAATCACACTACTGTTTTTGGCAGGTGCTCAGATCACAGCCTTCGTATAGCCGGTGGCTGGGAAACGGCAAGCCGCGCTTCCATGCTTCCGCTTCAAGTAATCTTCTCGAAGCCCCATTTCTTCCACCAACACTGACTAGCCCACCACAACCATGCACCGTACCTTTCGACTGCGTCACGCTGCATGCTTCGATGCATTCTCCCTTTGTGGACTACCCATTACCCATTACTCCTTCTATGCATATTGCTGACATTCCTATGCTACCCGATTCTTCACAAAGTCTTGCTCGACCCCTGTTGATTTCTGAGCGACCAACCGACAACCTTTATGCATCACTAAGCACCATTCGTCTCACCATTGGCTCTCAACATTCACACATGAATTTTCTGTTCAACGCTAATCATCTGTATCATGCCATAGAGCAATCGTACGAGAAACCTGTGCAGTCTTAAGCTTAACAAACCCCACAGCGCAAACACTCGCAGCGGCATGTCGTCACACTGCGCAAGCGCTTTCAAATCCATTGCCAATGCTTATTCAAGGCGAAGAAAAAGGCGACATTGGGACTCCAAAACACCATGCCATTTGCTAGTTGTGCGCAGAGTCCTTGTATCGCGTACGCCTTTGACGTATTTGCATCGAGGGTCCAGACTACGCCATGAGAAGCACTCAATCGCGATCGACCCAAACTTGTGGAATCTGTCAACGATGTCATGGAAGCGACGAAAAGCAATCCAGTTCTAGACCTCATGCCCAGGGCCTGGCAACTTGCTTTTGATCGGATTGATCTACAGTTGTACCGACAAGAAAAGCCTCGGGGTAACCGAATGAGACAAAAAAAATAAGAAGCTCCAATATTCGTCACGAGAGCCATCACAGGGCAATCTACCAGGAAAGTATTGTATCATCTGACTATGCTTGGTGAGAGAATACTGTCTCAAAGATCGACTGGTAGTCGGATACACTAGACTTATCCCTACCCCAGAATTGCAAAATGAGGAACGCTAACAATCTGTTTCCAAGTGGTTCATAGCTTGCGTTTGGAAGCCCATGCTGCCTTGTTTCGACGCACAATCTTGCCTGGGTCCCTAGGACAAGTCAATTTCCCTTCGACCGTTTCACGCCCGTACCCTCTCTGGATTATGCCTGCAACTCGGCATAATAGAAAACCAGGGGGCTGGTTTAGGCATTGCCGATCAAAACAATGAAGGGTCGCCCGAAACCAATTCTCTCCTTCTTGACCAGGTTGCCGACTAGCAAGAAAGTACAAACTAAGTCGCTTAGACATACTCAGGAGTGAGGCTGTTGAGAAGCCAAGTTTGGCGAGACTACTGAACATGACAGGAGCCCGGGATGTGCCTGACACTAAAATCTATCATTATCCCAACTTACACCTCAGGGAAATGCCTGTCACAGATCTTGCAACTAATAGTGATCGTCTCGCTGTTTACCGCTGGTTGGGCTGTCACACCTCAAGCCAGTTTGTGCCCTGCGGAACGTGCCGATTAACATATGTGGATGAGCCCATTACCAACCTCCCCTGAAGGGGTTCAACCCAGTGGTTGAGCCCACATAGTACGTGCTCTCAGTATGGCTGCGATGGTTCTGCAGAATGTGCCCAACTGGGCTTCCAGCAGACCAGCTTAGCCCACTAGGAGTCGTTGGTGGCTGGTGTTTGGGTTGATGCCACCTGTGTTGACACTGATTGGGTCGCAATGGCGAGCAGATACGCGCCGAACCTGGTAAATTGAATAACAACATGTTTGGAAGACATGGTTCAAAACGACATGCAAACACCGGGCAACAAAGGATACGTAGCAAATGACGTAGCCATGTCTTCCAAATCAACAGAAGGGATGCAATGTAAACAATGGAAGGTGCCCCACGTGGCGCGGGCGTCGCGCGTTGCTACGCATGGTTAGCGCGAAACCCTTGATCACAACAAACAATTGCATGTGGGTGTATCAACACCAGCCCTAACGCACCTGTATACCACAGTATTCGCCTACTGAGTTGTCAAGAGACTGGCAATCCCAAAACAATTGCATTTTCATACTAATCATGGCCGATCCGGGTATGTTCTCGGTGCGCCGCCAGGTAAGTTTATGATGTGGCCCCCTCTTGTCGCATCTTCCTACTTCCGTCCTCGACGTCTCTAACACGACACGCAGACTTTGGGTCCCGTCAACAACAACGTATCCGCCATTCCTATGCCAGCTTCCGCCATGAAGCGCCAGAGCTCTGTACACAATATGCAACCTAATCAGTTCCCTCCGAACCATGCGCGATCGCAGAGCGGAAGTAGAATGTCCCTCGCGCCTGGCCGACCGAGTCAACAACTCTTCCAACGCTCCTCTTCCGGTACAAATCTCGCTGAAGGCTTCCAGTCAGTACACCGCAACTCGACTAGTAACTTCGCAGCAAGCAGCGCGCGCAAGAGTTTCGCGCCAGGCGCTTCCATCTTCCAGACACCAGCATCCTCCTCAGGTCCTACCTTTGAACAA